AGCGGCGTGTACTGCAGAGTATGTAGCTAGAGCCTGCGGCCCTCCACGCCACATACCCTTCGGGAGGTCTGCCGCAAGGGCGGCTGCGCCCTTGCCGCTAAGGCGTTAAATACAAAACAAACAAACAAACAAACAAACAAGGGCATGGTGTTGACGATGCATCTCTGGATGCTGTAGATGAATTGAGCAGTGCAGCACAGTCTACGCCACACAAGGTAGGCAGCGTGCATGTTGAGTCAGAGGAGGAAGACAGGGAAGGCGATCGCAGTGTGTAAAGTTCAACATCTCGGCAATTGTTATCTTCGGGGCATGCGGCGTTGAGAAATGCTACGTAGTATAGTCTACTGATGCAAATATCAATGGACAGATGACCTGGTATACATCCAATGTAACATTTTACATTGTCTGGCCTCTCCTTCCCAATTTTCGCCATTTCGAGCATGTCTATAACTTCATGTCTTTACTAGGCATGGAGTAGCCGTAAGCGAAATGCTAAAAGCATTGGGAACTGTCCAAAAGTTATGATAAGATTGCAGTTGAGACGGGTCTTCTGATCCCGTGAAACCAGGCTCTCTCATGGCGTCCATTAGAAGTCCGTTCCGAAAGAATGGGTCCAACAGAGACCAAAATGGTCGATGATACAAGTTCTGGTCTGTTAGGTTTGGCGGCATGGAGTGAGTTGGAGACACATACCAACGGATAGGGTTGTCCCCTCAGCGCCTCGCTCTTGACCGGTGCGACGTTAAGATACTTAGAGACTTTGATGTGCCTATGGAATTCTTGTTTGCCGGTCTTCTCATTCTCTAAAACCTCCATGGCGTGATGACCAGCAGGCTTCGAGAAAGCCGGGTGTAAGTTGATAATCACGATCCTTGTGAAATTAGCTATGAAACTAACTATTTGAAGCGCTCTGGTCTTACCTGCCACCTGGTGCTAGCAGCTTCGGAAGTGCTGCCGCAAGGGGTTCAAGATCTGGCAACTCCTTCAAAGTCATGCTGCATGTGATCAAGTCAAATCTGAAGAGCAACTGTTAGAACCAATGATTCTCAAGAGACCGATACGAACTGCTCACCTGGGATGGCGCTGGCTGAAGTCGTCGAGACTTTCAGTGTCCAGTAGATCAACTACTTCAAACGTCATGTCCAGCTTTGCATCCTTTGCCCGAATTTCGGCCTTCTCAAGCATCAACTTCGAGCCGTCAACCGCCGTGACTTCAGCGCCTGAAGTTGCCAAGACTGCAGCAATTACCGCGCTACCAGTTCCTAGGTCAAGCGCACGCTCTCCCTTTTGAGGGGCCCCAAGCTGCTGTATAGTCGGTAAGAGGCATTCTTGGTACGTATCGTTGCCATTACCAAGTGACTGTTCCCAGTAATTGGCGATGTTGTCCCAAGTTGCGAGGTTATTCCCATCATATTGTCCATCTAACGCCTTCTTGGCGACATTTTCCCCGTTTTCACACATTGTAAAAGAAGGTTAAGAGAATATGAGATTAGATGGTGAGAAGGCTGCTCACTGCTGTGGACGTTATGAAGATTTGCCAGTACAACAAATTGCTCATGGTGCGGGGTCGCAAAGCCGGGTGCCTGCTAGGCAGCAGCTAAGCCAATTGGCCAATATGTGGTTCCTTGATCCCTCGGCCAAAAGCCGGTGGTTATCTTCCCTTCTTTCATTTTTCAGCCTACCATGTAATCACAATCGTCTCTTCCAGATCAAATGGAGATTGAATGGAGACATTACTGTGGCTAGCGCGATTCAAGAACACGCAGTGAGAATGGATATAGCTGGGCGATGCATCCGCGATGATCCGTCTCAGTGGGCATACCTCTTCTCGCAGGCGAGCCACAGTCTTTTTCAAACTTTTCTAATTCATTTCTTTCCTATCCCATCCAGAGTACATGTTTAAATACACGGCATTTGGACTTGACTCGCCGAATAACACCATCACAGGGAGAGCCAACTCCAATAACTTGGACTGTTCATGTATCAGCTGAGATATCCAGAAGCTTTGCCTGCCTCTCAAGGAACTCTAGCTTGGGGCGATCGCTCTCCACAGTGACCTTCGCGGAGACCACACTTAGCTCTTCCGTAACTCTGCCATCTCGAAGTACTTTCCTCTCTTGACGTGCGTCATACTCGAATTTGTACCATCCATGGGCATGATACGATCTTTCTAGAGCTCGTATGGTGATGACTTCAACACAGCACCATGCCCGTTCGTAGTAGTTATCCTCAGTAACACTGATCATGGCATTACATTGTGCAACACACATGGGTAGTACTGCGACACCGCGCGCCTGTATGTCTCTGTTGTCCTGGTCGATACAGGCCCAGTCCTGTAGACACTTATTGAGGCTCGGGATAGGCATGGAAGCAAGATGTTTGGAGAGAAGACTTACGAGCCATATACCAACCGTTTTAGGATCCACATACGGGTGTTCTAAGAGGAAACTTTCCAAGGCGCTCATCATTTGATGATACTTGGTGTTCTCCATATCGTCGGGAGAGAATTCGCCAACGCGCTTCTTCTTGGACCATGTGTACGACATGAAAATCACGTAAAGGTCTTCATCATCATCGTCCCCGAAGCGGCGTGTCAGGTTTTCGCTGGATTTGGGCAGCTTCCCGTGCCTAGCAAAGTCAGAAAAACGCACATATTTGAATGCGTCAAACTGGTGTGCTTTCTCTTCGTCCGTGGCAAGAGTTCTCGCATACACCTGTCGCAGCCGTTTTATGCTGGATCGATTGTCTGCTTCCAGCAGCACCGGTCGCAATACCTCCTGAAAAAGTTCGCGATAGCCCTTTCGAAGCGTAGATTCCAGCCGATGCTGCTCAACTTCGTCTTGACCGAGCTGTCGCTGAAGAGCCTCGATCAGAATATCCTGCGTCTGCCCATCACCGCTGTAGACTGCAAAGTCCAGTGCTGAGTAACCAGATGTGTCTCGTAAAGTCAAATCCGCTCCAGCATCGATCATTTCCCGTATGTAGCCCCGGTATTCTTCGCAAGGCTCTTTCGAGAGAGCTGCGACTGGCGTATATCCGTCTGAAGGGTTGAATTGAGCAAGCGACTCTTCTTTTTGTCCATTCAAGAGCAGCGCTCTGCCGTAGAACAGCCTAGAGAATGCAATCTTGCTTGGATCGCCCGACTGGATGGCCAGTTTTTGACAATCCCAGGCTGCGCCAATCGCCTTGTCGAGATGACCCTGCATAGTGTAACAGAGGGATAGACGGGCGAATGCGATGGCCTCGTGCGCTGTAGCGGTTTGAGCCTTCGCTGCCTTTCGACGGGAATCTTCCTGACTGTCTGTTGGAGCTCTCAGCCGTCGGCATATGTCGACCCGTTCTTCCAACTGCTTTATGGCGACAGCCAAGTACTCCTCGTCATGGTTGAGCAGGAAGAGTTGGTAGTTTACCATGCCAAGATTACCTATTGCACGCTCTGTTTCCAGCTCGAGCCCCATGAGTTTGGCAGATTCATACTGTCATTCGCAAGTTCGTTTGGCGTCGTTCAATCTGTTTAAATGACGATACACGACCGCCAGCTCTCCAAGTGCTTTGAGTCGGCTTTCGTTGGACGGCATGTTCTTGACTGCTTCCTCAAGGTACTCGCTGGCCCTTGCAAAGCGTCCAAGCATTCTGTGCACATACCCGAGTTCGGCAAGCACCACGTATCGATAATGTGTCGCGTGTGGAAGGTCGGTCTTGCCATCACATATGGCCAAAGCACCGTGATGGGAAAGTAGAGCTTCCTCCAGTTCGTTTCCACGGGTATGGGCTAGACCTTGCTGATAGAAACGCTCCCAACTGCGAAATGCTCCAATCGCTGCTGCAATCGCGGCAGGTGTGGAGGTTTCAGCATTGCTCTCCTGATGATACTCATCCCCCACGGAGTTCAGCATGGAAGAGGTGTGCTGTAAATCCTTTGAATGGTCGTAAGTCAAAGCACCCACTTTCCGATCACCCCCACTTTGCGATCACGCATCTCCACCCCCAGCCACCTCCAACCTCCTCACATATAACTATCACCACTTCTGTAGTCTTTATTCAAATGACTTCATTTTTTCACTACCTATT